TGTTTTTATAGTAATACTTTTATTGTATTTGAAATGCAATTTTAAATTATCAGCTAAATATTATAAATTGGAATAAAAGAAAAACCCTAAAAATGTGAAGGAATCGGTGGGTGTGAAGTAAATAAGTGAGGAATATTTAGGTATGGTTGCCGCTCAAAATTTAAACCCTACACATTCAATTAAATTTTTTAAAATGCGTTAATAATAATAATAACAATTAATGGTTTCTTTCCACAGATTTTAATGCCAATTCTCCAACCTACTCCTCACTTACCCTTTGGGTCCTAAAAATTTGTAATATTATCCTCAAATTTTCATAAATTTTTTAAATTATATTTGAAATTAAGATTTTAATTTTAATTTTGATTTTCTTTATGAATGTTGATGATAATTGATTCACGTTACATTTAATACGTAAGTCCATGTGTGCCATATTCCATCAAATAAAATATGTGAACTGTTTGAGTTCAAATGGGCTTAGACCGGCCCAAATAAGCTATCGGGTTTTGCATGATTTAGTGAGATGATGGGAAAACAAGAGAAGCTTAGTTTTGTCCAACAACTTCACCTAATTTAGGGAAACCTTTCAAGCTTTCATATAATATAATATAATATAATATATAATATATAACCAAGAAAATTAGCAAAAGCTGTTCAAATCTTTAATGGTGTGGGTTTCTTGCAAGTTTCTCAAATCATCCAGCTAGCTTTTAGGCCCTTCTCAATATAATTACTTTTCCTCTTCCCACAATCAACCATGCTTCATTATTAACCATCATAGCATCCTAAATTTTATTTTTTTTTTATTTATATGTAATTTAATTGAGACGGTCTCCTATCAGACATCGTATATCAATTTAAACTTCTTCGGGTTTCATATGAGAAACCGTTTTAAAAAAATAGTCTTATTTACATTCAATGAATTATAAAGTATATATTTAGAACCAAAAAAAAATATGATCCAAACAAAAACTATGCTAGTAGTTATTTAATGGTCAATTTTGTACGTGTGTGTATATATATATATAATTCTTTGAAAGCTGGATACAGCTTTTGACTTTAGTTGTGTCATTGTCATTTACAATTACATTTTACGATCCCAGTGATATCTTACTTCTTGTTGAATATTTAAAAAAAATTATAAAATTTTTTACTTTTCATCTTGACAACCTCGATCTTTTAAAAAAGAAAAAAAAATCTTCGATGAAAGTTTCGTGTAAACAAACGATAAAAATGAGTGATGGCTAATACCATATTTCTTAAAAGATTGTTATATTTTCAACACTTAATACTTTTTGTATACAAGAACAAGTGAATTTTATGAACTTGAACTTATACTCCCAATTCTCTATTTCATAAAAACTTTAAAATGGTAGGCTTATTAAATCAACTAGCAAATTTGCATCTCAAAAACTTGTCTCTTTAATAGGTCGAGATGGAGAAAATTTGTTTCTTTCTCGTAAAGTAAAAATTAGCTAACCAAAAAAAAAAAAAAAAAAAAACACTTGTAGAATGCTCTAATTTCATTATCAAACAGTCAAAGGAAAAGGTCAAAAGAACAAAAATATTGTGGCTAGATGAACAACTTTCGTGGAATAAAAAAGGACATTTTTTTTTCATAACATTGAAACATTCAATTTGTCCATAAATAAATAAATAGATAAGACATGGTGGGTTTCGACACAATTTCCACGTATACCTACGTATCTGGGGTTCTGGTAATCCGTAGTTAAGTAAACCTAGAGTCTCACGCCAGCTCATCCATTTACATGCTTACACGTGGACAACAAAAATCTGTACAATCCAACTCGTCCAGGTTGTTGGGGTTTAGTGATCCAACGTTAATTATGTATATTTTCCGTGGCGTATTATCATTTTGTTTCTTCTAAATATCGAAAATTATAAAGTATTCCATGCTGGCTCACCATTTATGCTATAGGATTTTAAGATAATTCTTTTTAATTATTTTGTGGAATTTGAATAACTTTTGGTTGGAGAAAGAAAGAAAGAAATAAAGAGAAATATTGGTGGGATTGGTAAAGAAATAGCATAAAAAGGAGAGTTGGTAGTTGTAGAACTGATAAACTGCCAAAATTCCCACTCGCAACAAAAATAAGAACAAACCAGTCAAACACAACACGCCTATCCCATTTTATTATAACCCCTTCTTCTTTCACTTCCAATCCCCAACAACCCAATTCAGGAATAATGGAATCTGTTATTGCAGAGCTAGAAGGCACCCTGTTGAAGAGCTCCGATGTGTTCTCCTACTTCATGTTGATGGCCTTCGAGGCCTCCGGTTTGATCCGCTTCACGCTCTTGCTCTTGTCATGGCCACTCGTATGCCTCCTCGATGCAGCCGGGATGGCGGAGGTGGGGCTCAAGCTGGCGACGTTTGTGGCCACGTTCGGAGTTCGAAAGGCAGAGATCGAGTCGGTTTCTAGGGCAGTTATGCCCAAGTTTTTTATGGACGATTTGAATATGGATGTTTGGAGAGTGACAAGCAGGTTTGGGAGACGAGTGGTGGTGACTAAGATGCCTAGGGTTATGGTAGAGATGTTTGTAAAGGAGCATTTACGAGCGGATGAGGTCGTCGGGTGTGAACTCGGGTTTAATCGATTCGGGTTCGCAACCGGGCTCGTGAAGGGAGGATTGGGTTCTGTTGTTGAAGAGATTTCTCAGCTTTTTGAATTGGGTAATGGTGGAAGAAGGCCTACTATGGGCATGGGGCGACCTTCATCTAGCTCTTCCTTTTTAGGTCTCTGTGAGGTTAGTTTCACAAATTTTATGATTGATGTTCCAATAATNCTCTAAATGTTTAGGTTATTTTACATTTTCATGTTTTTTTTTTCAATTTTTTAAAAATGACCTTATTTTGAGATTTCGTGGTGATTAATGTTTCAGGAACAAATGCACCCACCATTAACCGCCGCTCAAATCCGAGATCACATTCCACCCCACCAAGATCTTCGACCATCACCGGTCATCTTCCACGACGGCCGGCTCGTCAACCGCCCAACCCCAGCCACCGCTCTCATAATCCTTCTATGGGTTCCAATCGGCATAATCCTCGCCCTCCTCCGAATCTCCATCGGCTTAATTTTACCAATGTGGGCCATCCCCTACGCCACCCGCCTCTTCGGCGGGAAAGTCATCGTCAGAGGCCACCCCCCGCCGCCGCTCTCTAGCGGCCCCAACGCGGCCACCTCTGGAGTACTCTTCGTCTGTACACACCGCACCTTAATGGACCCAGTCGTTCTAGCCACCGTGCTCCGCCGGAAAGTCCCCGCCGTCACCTACTCCATCTCCCGCCTAACTGAAATCCTGTCCCCAATCCCCACCGTGCGATTAACCCGAATCCGACATGTCGACGCGGAGAAAATCAAACGAGAGTTATCCAGAGGCGACTTGGTGGTGTGCCCTGAAGGGACGACATGTCGGGAGCCGTTTCTCCTGAGATTCAGCGCGCTGTTCGCGGAGCTGACAGACAGGATTGTACCGGTGGCGATGAATTACCGGGTTGGTTTTTTTCATGCGACTACGGCCCGGGGTTGGAAAGGACTGGACCCAGTGTTTTTCTTCATGAACCCGCGGCCGGTGTACGAGGTGACGTTTCTGAACCAGTTGCCGGTGGAGGCGACCTGCTCGGCCGGGAAAAACCCGCACGAGGTGGCAAATCACGTGCAGAGGATTTTGGCGGCGAGTTTGGGGTTTGAATGCACCAATTTTACGAGGAAGGATAAGTATAGAGTGTTGGCTGGGAACGATGGAACGGTGTCGTATGTCTCCTTGGTTGATCAGCTCAAGAAGCTGGTCGCCAAATTCAAGCCCTTTATTCACCTCATCTAGCAACCCACGGTTCAGATTGCTTTGCTTTAGTTTCTTAATTAGTTTTAGTGGTTTTATTGCAAATTTGTTTCTCTCTTTTTTTTCTTTTTTTTTTTAATGGGATTTGGATTAATCTGCTTTCAATTTTGTTGAAATGTAAGAATAAATAATAACATAATATAATTTTACTTTTTTTTTCTTCTACACTTCTACACCTCCAAATAAAGAAAAGCTTCCAAATCATCCTATATATTATTTTTTATTTTTTTCCCATTTATGTTCCATTCTTGTAGAATGGGGATAAACTAAACAAATGGAAAATTAGGATATAAATTAAAAATAGAAAATGTTACAAAAATGCACTGTTTCTATTAATATCCAATAAATAATAAGTCTGGAATCCAAAAAATTTTAAATAAAATAAAACTATGAAACTAATATAACAACCATAAACTTATTGGTATTTTTAATAAATAACGAAGGAAAAAAAAATCAATTTTCATATGCGCTGATCAGTTTTCCCATTCCACTTTCAACTGCATTTAAAATGTTCAAATTTAAACATTAAATTTTAAAAAATTAAAAATATTCTCATATGTGTAAATTGCAATATATGTATGTATATATATATATATATTACAAAATGGATAAAATTTCAAAGAAAAACATGTTTACAACTTGATAAATGTATTCAGTGGTTAATTTGTGCAATAATTAAATTAAGGTTTTGCTAAATTTTGATTTGAAATGAGAGAGTTTATGAAGATTTTTGCATTATTTTTTTGTTAAAATGATTGAATAAATTAGAGAAAATTAAACCCTAAGAATATTTTAAATATTTTTTTTGTCTAATAAATTTAAAACTAAGGTTTAAGGGCTAATTATGTAATTTGACATATATTTTTTAAAATAACAAAATTATTTTTTATAAATTTCAGCAATATTCAATTCCTCTCCTCCACGCGTGGAAACGTTAAAATTTAGAAGCGGCAAACGACACGTCAGTGGGCGAAGTACACAGCATCTGCACATCTTAACGCTGTTAAAGTTGAACGAACAGGATGGAACCACTTGTCCCAAACTGGAAAGGCGTTGGTAAGACGCTAACGGAGACGACGCGGTTTTACCGTTTAAAGCCTTTTCCACCTTGTAATCAGTTCATTCCATTACCTCTTTTCTCTACAAAATTCCCCAAATCAAATCCTAATTTCGTCGGCCCCTCGGTTTCTAGGGTTCTTTAATTCAATCCCCCATTTCCCAAATTGCACTCCCCTGATTGATCCCACCATTTTCTTTTTTGTTGCTTTTGTTTTTTTCTTTTCTTTTTTTTTTTTTTTTAGTTTTTTAGGTTCGAAGCCGACATTTTGATCGTGGGGGATTTTGTTTTTTTGGTTTTTTGTTTCTGGGTTTGATCGTTTGTGTTGTTTTCTGGTCTTGGGAGGATTGAAATTTTGTGGGGTTCTTCAATTAGGGGGGGCGGGGTTGGCGATTGATTGGATTAAGCTTCGTTGATGTCGTCGATGGCGGCGGCGTCTTCCTACTGGTGCTACCGATGCAGTCGCTTTGTTAGGGTTTTCAATCAAGACTCTGTTGTGTGCCCCGATTGTAATAGTGGGTTTATCGAACAGATCGAGCATCCTTCGAGGTTGGTGGACGTGGAATCGGCTCCGCGGAGGAGGTTTCCGGCTGCGGCGATGTATATGATTGGCCACCGGTCGAATTCGGGGCAGAATTTGGGATCTGGGATTCGGAGACCTCGGAGGAATGGTGGGGATCGCTCGCCCTTTAATCCTGTGATTGTTCTTCGGGGGCCGTCTGATGGGAGTGAAGGTGGAGAAAGTCGTCGGTTTGAGCTTTATTACGATGATGGCGGTGGTTCTGGCCTGAGACCGCTGCCACCGAGCATGTCGGAGTTTTTGTTGGGGTCTGGGTTTGATAGGCTTCTGGAGCAACTTTCTCAGATTGAAATGAACGGTATTGGGCGGTTTGAGAGCCCACCGGCGTCCAAGGCTGCAATTGAGTCAATGCCCACGATTGAGATCTGTGAAAATCATTTAGAAACTGAGTCACACTGTGCTGTTTGCAAAGAAGCATTCGAATTGGGGACGGAAGCACGGGAGATGCCCTGTAAGCATATTTACCATTATGATTGCATTCTACCTTGGCTTTCGATTCGAAACTCTTGTCCAGTATGTCGTCACGAATTGCCTTCGGATAATCAGAACTCTCCGGATGCTGCAGAAAGTGGTGAAAATGAGGGGTCGGTGGCCTCAAATGGTGAAGAGAATGTGGGCTTAACCGTTTGGAGGTTACCTGGCGGGGGGTTTGCAGTAGGGCGGTTTAATGGGGGCAGGAGAGGTGGGGAGAGAGAACTCCCGGTTGTTTACACTGAGGTGGATGGTGGTTTCACCAATGGTGGCGTCCCTAGAAGGATATCATTTGCTTCAAGAGGCAGAGGAAGGGAAAGAGGCGGATGGAGCCGAATTATTCGCAATATGTTCGCTTGCTTTAGGGGATCAATGAGGTCTATGTCGTCTACTTCAAATTCCACCATCGATTCTGGTTCTTCAAGGAGTAGTAGACCACTCCCACATTTCACTACCGAGCCAAGGCGACGGCGCACATGGTCTATGGAGGTTAACAGTGGGACAATCAGCTGGTGATTTGGGGATGCGGTTGTTAGCAAGGCTAATTAGGTGAAGAAGTTATATATGGGACAGGCTTATTAATTGCTGTAAATAGCAGAATTTGAATCCGAGCTTTATATTCATAAAAATAAGAAGGTTTCTCGAGCTAAGGCAAGAGGTTTCTTTTTCCCCTCTCTTTTTGGGCTATTTGGATAAGGGATATTGCAAGAAATGTGGGAAATAAATGCAGCAGTCTCTTCCTTCGCAGAAAAAGAAAAAAAAGGTAGCTCCTGCTGCATGTTAGAAAATGATGGAATGTATAAGGTTTAAATATGTTGTTTTGTAGAGCATGGTTAATAACATAGTCTGTTAGAAAGTTGTAAGGGTAAACTACTTGAATTAAATATGTTGTTGAACAGTGTGGAGGCATGGGGTGAGTGCTGAGTGCATCGGCCTTGTTAATTGCATCACTATTGTTCTGTCACATCTTTGCTCGTAATGATGCTCATCGCTGCACGCTTTTCTGAGGAGAGGGATTTGCATTGAAACCATGCTGCCAAACATGAACGTGCAAGAGAAATAGCAGAAACTGGAATTTGAAATTTTTTTGTAACATTTTGTATCCATTCCATTTCCAACAAGTCCGCGATTTGAACGGATGAATGTTTTTGGGTTTGATTTAGATACAGAGAAGAGTTCACAATCCATGGAACCAACGGGAGTGGCTCAATCTCAAAATTGTTGGTTCAAGTTCCGAGATGGGCCCATAATGGGCCAGTGCTATGGGCGGAAAAGCCCATACTGGAATTTTATTGATAATTTGATAGAGGAAAATGTGAAGAAAAGAAAATGGGAATACAAAAGGGGTTTATAGGCTATATAATTAAATGCTTGTCTTCTTCAATCATTCAGTCAAGCACACTCTAAAATCATGCATCAAAAGTTCTTCTTTTTGTTGTTGTTAGATTGAGGGATAAAGATGATCCATCATGTCTAATAAAGGTAGATTTTTACTTGACTTTTGAAAAATTAAAGATTTTATAGATTTTATTTTTTTAGTTTTTTAAATAACCTTTCCAATGAAATTCAAGGGAACATAATCAAATTATCCTAATGTTTTTTTTTTTTTACCAAATAATTCCTAGTATGAATTTACCCATTACTACAAATGTGGGGGAAATATTCCCTTTCTAAACCTAATTTTCCAACTAAATAGATGGTTAATTATTTCAAAAAATATCTTCTTTTATGATTAGTTCAGAATTATCCTTAAACTAGAAATTTATTAGAATTTTGGACAAAGTTAGAACTTAGAAAGATTCCGTGATGATGAAAACATAAACTAGGACCTCAACATCACTACACTACTCCACGCCGTCATCGTACTCGTTGTAGGAGCATTTTTTTTTTTTTTTTTTTTTTATAATATAGCTTATCATCTCTAACAAAATCAATATTAGCATGAGTGACATCAAATACACTCGTTGATTATCGATTGAATATGTTCATATATCTAATGTAGGGTTTAGTTTCTTTGAGGTGGTGATGAAAAATTTAACAGATAAGTCACACTTGTTGCCTCTCTCGATAAAACTTGACATGAGATTTTTACCAGATGGTCATATATTCGATTCATTTGCAATCATTCGATTCCTTTTGTTCTTTCAATCAATCTTGAGCAAGCAAACAAGATCAATTCAATCACTTTTAATAAAGTTTAGGACTGCGATTGCTACGCATAAGCTTATGTTATAATAGGATGAAATTGAAAGTTTAGAGTAAAAATTGATTTTTTTTCCTAAAAAAAACTTCACATTTAGTCTATTTAGTTAAAAATTTAGTATTTGAACCTACCGAATTTATCTATTTAATCCATATAATTTTTAGAAAGGTTATGGAACTTTTAATTGTATCCAACAAGTTCTGTTCGTTAACTATATAGCACTTGACTTGACACACTAAACTATAGTATTAGGTGATTACGTGACATAAATCTAACGTGTTCGAAATATATTTAAAAAGGGAGATGGATCTAGATGTTATCGTGTACCGACTTCTAAGGTAACCCAAACCACATAATTTCTAAATAATAATAAATACATACCAAATTTAAATTTATAACCAGAAAAGTGAAAAATGCTCATTTTTTGGGTTTGGGTGGGTGTTTTTGAGCATTATAGGTGCAGAAGGAAGAGGTGAAACTGTGGTGTATAGAGGAGGGTTTTAGAGGCATATAGGGATTAGGAGAGATGCAATGGGTATCCAATTCATGTTCTCCAGCAGCCATTTATTTGGTCAATCTCAATTAAACCCCACCTTTTACTTTTCTTTTTTTTTCAGCAATATTTTCGTTTGATCTAATACAAATGATTTTGGGGTAACTTGTTTTAAGAAGTTGGGACTAATGAATTTCTTATCCAACTTTAATTAATGCAGAGCCTGTTTTTCCTTTGCCTTGAACGTTGTCAAATTTGACGAATTTCAATACTTCCTTTTTCTTTTTTTCTCTAAATTCGAGTTTTTAGAATGAAACCCAGAAACCGATCCCTCTTCAGCTTCAGCTGCCTAAGCTGGCCTTGTTTTTGTGTGATTCAACCAACACAATCTCTCTCTCTCTAGAATCATAGAGAGAAGAACTCTGAGAATGACCCAGAACCAAAAACAGAGCAAACAGTAAAGAAAACCATAAGATCCAGAGAGGTATGAAGGATGAAGAAGAAGATGATGATAAAGAAATTGCATTTGATTAGAGAAAAACAATGGAAGTAGTTACAAAGACTAATGCTTGTCAGAAAGAACCCAGTAAGATTGATTACCCATCAGATTGAAACAAGGAACAAAATTTAAATTCCAAAAGAAAAAAGAACCTCAGAGATTTCAATACTACATCATGTAACTATTTACAAGTATATGAAAATCCCTCTCTAATCTCTCTTTCTCTCTCTCTAAGATCCGGATTTGCAATGTTTCTGGAAAACCCCATCTGGGTTTTGGCCACAACGGCCTCATTTTCAGGTCCCAAAACACAGAGGAGATAGAACATTGCACTTTTCTCCAAAAAAAAAAAAAAAAAAAAAAAAAAAAAGAAAAGAAAAGGACCCAAATGATTTGATCTGATCCGCGTTCTGGTTCTGGTTTTGATTCTGATTCTGATCTTTCTCGTAAAAAGGGTAACAGAAAACTCCCGATGATATCAGGAATCGCTGTAGTTATGCCAACAAATGAGCATGGTAACACAGCGCCTCATGATGTAAAATCGAGCCCTCTGTTCCTTCACCAATTTTGCACATTTTCTTGTAAAAGAACATCTCCTTTCAGAAGAATTTCTCATCAGAGGACACGAGGAGGAAGAAGATCGGCTTCTCGCCGGAGCTCCCTTCTTGGGCAGCTTCCATTTCTCCTCCATGTAAAACGGCGGCGGAACGGCGGCGGCAGCAGATGAGGAAATAGAAGCCATTTTTCAGTGAAGTGTGAAGTGTGAAGTGGGGTTAAGGAAAGGATTGAGCTTCGCAAAAATGGAAGGTTGTAGAGGGAGAATAAGAGCGGTTTGAAGAAAGAAAGTGGATTTATTTAGTTGAAGGAGAGGCTGCAGCGGTATTTATAAGGGGAAGGGGCCACAAAACAGGTTAAAAGAAGGGGGGGCGTGGCAGTGGGTATCACACCTGGTTTTCTTTCCCTTCCCCAACCAGAGATACGCCATTATAATATTCTTTGATTATAATATTTCCCCTTCCCTCAAATCCAAAGACCCAAATTAGCTAATACTTTTCAACACAGAGATTTGAAAGATGTCCACAATCTCATGGCAATCCCAAGTGAAATTTTTAGGAGAGAAACTGAAATGAAAAGGGTGGTGTTTGAGTCCAGTTAGTAAGAGAGGGAGGTCAGAGAGGGGCTGGTGGGGTCAGACAGGCATGGTGGTGGGGGCTGATCAATCAGAATTAGAAAAGTAAAGAGGGGGAATTGATGAAGAGTGACATATCAGAGGTTCGAATGATGAATCGAAAAAGATTTGGCATTTTGAGCTTTTTCTGTACAAGTAGAGAACCACAGAACCAGAGAGGGGGTAATGAGCCTGAGGATTCACCATCATGATTTTTCACTTCTTTCTCTCTCTCTCTCTCTTTTTTTTTTTTTCTCTACCATGCCTTTGCCTTTGCACATATTCATCAAACACAACAACCCCCTGATGTGATATGTCAAAGTCTCTTTGGTCCATCCTACGCAACATCTTCCCATTCCGATCTCTCTGCTACCCCCTCATTCTCATTCTACTTCTCTATCCACTTTCAAACCTTCCCACATTTTATCTCTCTGTAAGTTAGACTTCTTGTTCGAAGGTATACCAAACAACAGTTCACACAAACCATAAGTCTATAACTAAACATAAGCTAAGTTTGATGAACTCATACTTCTAACCTCATCGTAATCTCAAGATAAAAAAGTTAAGACTTCTCAGACACGTGAACTAGATAAATCTTAGAGAGTATGGAACTTGATCAAGGGAGTAGTTGGAAAAAATGTTCAAGCTTATCGGGATGTATTGAATTGTGTATCCAAGTCTCTTTCATGTCCCTGCGGCCACGATGGAGGAGTGTGAGTGTGAGTGCCTATTATTTGACTGAGGATAGTTCACGCGTTGACAATGTATTGAAAAATGCATAAGAAAAATGAAAAATGAAAGTAGAGTATACTTTATAGTAGTGGAAATCTTTTTTTATCAAAATGAAAATGCCCTCTTTAAAACAATTGACAACTAAAAGATAATTAGACTTTGAAGAAACTATATATTAAGACACGAATATACATGTCACGAGAATGGCTGACATTAATTTCTTACATTATGACAGAAAAACAGAGATTTTGAGTATACGATTAAAATATAAGAAAAGGGGATAAGCATGAAAATGATCAGTAGTCTCTCTTTGCTTTCTGTTCCCCTCTTTTGCTCATTGGATGAACAAGGAATCTTTGACTAACCATTTGAAGCATTTCCAGCTGCAAAAAGAAACGCTTGCAACTTCTAGCAGAAAGAGAGAAAAAAAAACGTATACTTCTGGCTCATTCTCTGCATGAAGAGTTAAAAGCAAGTAAATAATTAAAGAATTGAAAGAGCAATTATTAGGAGGTTATTGAAGGTTAGAGCTAATTGGGTTTGTTTAATTTCGCAATCCTTGCAAACAAAATGTTTTGGTATCATTTAGGACTTCAGATGTGAGAGATTTAGACAGAGCAAACATTGTAAACACCAGAGGGTTCATATTGCAATTGTCATATTACTTTAATTCAATCCAACAAACTTCTAAAAAAATGTGATACTTATTCAAAAAAAGAAGTCCTCGTTTTAGTGACCCAATTCATTATACACTATAAATGATACCTAGCACTTTCTTTGTACATTACATGAATGCTAATAAGAATAAAATAACTAAATTAGTACATTTTGCATATGCATGCATGGCCAACAATAATTTTAATGAGAAAATGTTAGGATTTTAATTTAAGTTCAGATTATAGAAACAAGGATTTTATTCCCCATGGGGTCAAGTCAAACCTTTCTCTCTCTGGCTGCCAAAAGCAAGAGCACATGATCCCATGTGTGTATGTAAATTTAATCTAAACCTTAAACTGATCTACAAGATTACCAACCCAACTAATTTCAGAAATCCCACTGACATAAGCAGGCAAAAATTGGTCACAGTCTCGGAACACAAGATTCTCGGGTAGAAACGAAATCAGCTAAAAGGCCATCAACTTCACCCCATCAGAGATAAGAAACAAAGCTAAAAGAAACTAATGAGATGGGTTTAATACAGAGCAAACCAATGTACTAAAACAGAGTAATCAAATTCCCAACAGTTGCCATTTCCATGGGGTTTCTCAATCTCAAAACATGTGCAATTTACTAGTTTTCTGGGTTGATCTTGGGTTAAATGCATATAGTCCACAAACAAATATTATCCAAACATTTTAGCCATAAACGATGGTTGAATGGAAAAGCAAAAAGGAAAAGGTTTAAAAAGGAGTTGTTTGGTACTACTAACCTCACCAGACAACTTCCCCAACAAGCAGAAGATATTGTTGTCCCTTCGATTGTCTTATAGGCATTTCGTCGAACACCTTGAGGACACCTTCTGTTTGACCCCCCGCAAATGATTGATTCTGATCATTGTTCGAGGACCCGAATCGTGGATTCCTAATTAAAACAATGGTCGGTTACTTGGGCCTCCAAGCTTTCACTTTCCCCCAAAAGACATGTTTCTTCCTGCTCAAACCTCAAATCCCGAACTACTGCCCTTCTTCAATGAACGGAGAAATGAAAGCACTGAAAGTGTAAGTAGCAACACAGCCCTTAACCAGTTCCCAAATTGTTCATTGATTTCAGATGCATGAATCCCACTTCCCCTCATATCATGATTCTCTTGGTCCTTCGCTTACCTAATTAGAATTCCAAACAAGGAAGGGATCAAACATCAATCAATTATAGTTTGAGTTAGGTTCACTTTAACTTATTTAAAAAAATAAAATTATTAGCGTGCATGTCATTACTATTATATGGAAAAAAAAATATTTAAAACATTTCATCTTAAAAATTTGCATATTGCAAATTTGGTAGAAAAGTGATTGAAATAAGAAAGAAAATTACCCTCCATCAAAGTTTAAAAAAATTACTTGATGAAAAGTACTTGTGTTTTCGGTTGCTTTCTCTTGAGGGCAGATTCTATAATTTTAAAAAATAAAAAATAAATCCGTTGGAAACAAAGATTTGTCACAGTAAAATCCAAGGTGGGAGATTAAAAAACAAAAAAAAAAAAAAAAAAAAAAAAAAAAAAAAAAAAAAAAAAAAAACAAAAAAAAAAGACAAGAAAATCCCGAAAGAAGATTTGAGTGCCGCCCAAAATTATGTCTCATTCTAACCGCATTCATCTCCTAATTATTCCTCTCTCCCTGATTATCATTATACAAATCACTCTCTCTCCCTTAATCCCTTTAAAATTAATTAATTTATTAGGTATAAAATTAAAGCCAAAGTCTAATATGATAATAAATTTTCAATTAACGCAATTTAATCTAAAAGATATAGATATACATCATTTAAAATCTTTGAAATAAACTTTATCCATCTAACTAAATAACATGTCAATTAATTAATCTCTATATATATAGAGAGAGAGGAAAAATCAATAAAAAAAGATTTGTAAAGATTATGATAATCTTTTTAAGAAGTTTTGAAACAAATAAAGGACTCAAATTCAATCATGCATTAATGATGATCTCACCAACTATCATAAGAAAATTCAAATAATTTGTGTGTGTGTGTGTTTTTTTTTAATGGGGAAATAAATAATAATTTAATTAAACTCATTAATTTTCATAAGGTCTTATAACAAATGAACTAAAAAAATCCACAGATTATGGCATGTTCATAGGTTGGGGAACAACAGTGCTCTTAGAACAAATTAATGAAAATATTATATATTTGTTTATCTTTGTTGTGCAGCTTTATTTTCTTTCATTTATTTCATGTTTTTATTTCAGAGACAATAATGCAAGTTGGACATAAAATATTTTTTTTAACAAAAGATTGATGGATGGCCATAAAGACATGCAAAAACGGAGAAAAAGGGTTTGTGGGCCTAAAATTGTATGTTTTTTAAATATAATTTAATAGTATATTGATAATAAGTTTTATTTTTATATATATATATAGTATTGATAATAATAGTTTATTAAAATTTAAAATTATTGTTAATTTTTATCAAAATTGGTATAATGATGTATTGATATATATGTATTTTATTTTTATTTAATTTCATTATTATTTATTTGTTTTTTTTATGATTTATTCTCCACTTAGTCTATTCATAACCATAAATCAATAACAATAATAATCATACATCACTAAACAAATACAATTTCTTATTTGTTATTGTAAAAATATTAACTTTGATCCACGATTCTCTCAAATTATTTCAATAAGGAAATTATAATCATTATTAAAAAAGAAAAAAAATAATAATTTTAGGGTTGAAATTGAAACACCCATTATAAAGAATAAGGGAGGCCCATAACGTCCTCACATTCTCTCGCTCTTTCATGTTGAGTTTTGAGACAAAAATACATGAACAAATTCGACAAAATCAAACCAGATAAAAAAAAAAAAAATAACAAAATATATATATATTAATGAAGCCATCACAACTATCTTCTAATAATCGACCAATGTGAATTTAAGCATCAGCATGTCTGTTTGTTGGTTAATTATTAACAACTTCATTTTTATTAAAAATAAATAAACTAGAAAGGAAAATGGATCAAATGGATCCTCGTTTATGTTTTATACATACAAATATTGGCAATCATATTGTAATAGAGCTCGAAAAAGAGAGGGCGGTGGAATGAAATGGTAACTGTGAAGATTGTGTTTTTCTCCTCACACATGCTCCCATGTGGATCTCCACGTTATGTTTTTTTTTTGAATTTCAACCGTCGCCGGAAACTTCCAAATCTCAGTCAAATTCCGACAAACAGAACCACAACCATTCCAAGGATTTGGATAACATGTTTTTTTTTTTTTTTTTTTTTTTTTTTTTTTTTTTTTTTTTTTTTTTTTTTTTTTTTTTTTTTTTTTTTTTTTTTTTTTTTTTTTTTTTTTTTTTTTTTTTTTTTTTTTTTGTATGCGAATGTGGATAAGACGCAAATGTATATTTTTTTTGGAAAAATTATATAAAATTAATAAATAAAATCTTACATTCTTTTAATAGTATTATATTTGTGTACTGATTTTTTTAAATAATATAATAGAAATGTGGTTTCACCCTTTGTATTCTTATCGAAGCTATTAGATGTGTGAAAATATTGATGAAATGTTGAAATGTTGATTATTATATATTTTTAAATAATCTTTAAAAATTTAATAGAAAGTAAATTTAAAACTAACATTTTAACCGTCTTTTTCACTATTTTATATATATAGAGAGGCAATGAAATTGAAATTTTGATAATCTTTAAATTAACTTATAATAAATTTTACAAAACACACAAATACATTTAACGTCTGTAAAATAAAATTTACTCTAAATGGAGTTTAGGGCATAATTATCTAAACTATAAAATCATATATTTAAATTTTCACGCCTATTTATTATTCCACGCGTTATTAAAAAAATAAAAATAAAAACAAGAAAACCTTAATGGGCCTTGTCTTCTTCCGGTGGGAAGTTTATATTTAAGCCCATCAAAATGGCCCAATGTGAATGGCCCTATAGCTATTTGCTCGTCGTTAGAAGTACTCCCCACTAAAGGTGATTTATGCTTGGAAGCGATTTATAAGTGTTTTGTACGGAAGCACTTTCACAAGTATCTTTTTCTGATGGCCATATCCATCGTAAATGGTATTGTCTTTTTGGACTTTCTCTTTCGTACTCTTTCTCAAGGTTTTAAAACGCTTCTTTTAGGAAAAAGTTCTCACACCTTTATAAATAATATTTTGTTCTTCCCCCTAACCTAACCAACGTAGGATATCACACTTTTAATTTGATTAGTTCGATAATTACGGAATTAAAATTAACCTATCAACTTCTAAAATTGTGATCACTTCATGCAATCTTATAAACATCCAAATTTGATACTGTACTAAATAAAACTTTAAATTTTCATTAAAAAAAAAATCAAATTAAACCATTAATTAGCGAAAGTTAATATAATTGATTCCATAATTTTTAGTTTTCATATCGGATCAACAGACCGGTTCAACTAAACTGCCCATTTCCATTCCATCTTGCCCGTGCTGCCGCGCCTTCACTTTGCTTTCCAACAACCAAAAGATCATTCCGCGTCGTCTTTGTCCTTCTCCAGCTCGCTGCAAGTTAGGGCAAAGAAGAAGCAAGCTTCCCCTCACTCCCAATATTTTCTGTTTCAGCTTCTCGACTCGTAGACATGCCATTCGTATCGGAAATACAGAGACAATCTGATTTCAATCACTTTCCCTCCACCACTCCCATCGTTATCGACAATGGCGCCTCCTCTTTTCGCATTGGGTATCTCCATTTTTCTGGCTTCAACTCTTCCAATAAGCAGCACGAGAACGAACTTTCATTTATTTTTACGTTCATATAAACTGTGTTCTGTTTTTTTCCTTGAATTTAGTTCTCTTTCCTGTGTTTGATTCTTCCAGATGGGCAGGAGAGTCCGACCCTCGCGTTATTTTCAGGAATATTGTCCAGAGACCTCGCCACAAAGCCACTGGTATCCCTACTTTTCATCAGTTAATATGTTGGTTTCTTTGGTTGTTTAGTAAGGCTCAGGAGTAGCTTCTTTCTTCGAAAAATTCACACTTCCGAAGTAGAATGAAGAAAGAATTGTTGATGGATATTAACAATTGGGGCTTAGTTTTGCATTCACTCGAGTTCTCTGAAAAATTGTGACCCTCCGCTTCTGCGGAAATTATCTTGTTCTTTAAGCTTTGTAAGATTATTAATTGAAGCGTAATCTGTTGTTCTTCTTTTTGCAATTCAGGTGAAACGGTTACTATAGTTGGAGACCATGATCCGTCTTTGATGAAATATTTTGATTGCACACGTTCAGGTCATCGCTCTGCTTTTGATGGCAACGTTGTTTATCAGTTTGAAATTATGGAATACGTAAGTTGAATTATTGTTTTATCTTTTGCCACTTTCAATTTGGACCTACACATGTGAACTAAAAACATTGTCTGAACTTAATTTTATTGAAACTCGGAGATAATCATATGTGGGCAATAAAGCTAACGCATGCATATTAGAAGAATGAATATAGGTGTCGCTGCATACCTATGTGTACTTATACGAACTTGGAGAATATAAAGTTGTAGCTTGTTAATAATTCCTTGCATATATTAGGTTCTTGACTTTGGATTTGATCGGCTTGGAGCAACTGGACCAGAGGTAATTGTGCAAACATTAAGTTTCAACCTTTTTTTGGTACCTTGTTCTGTCGTTCCTCATTGCCTTCTCTCTCCCTTTCTTGTTTGTAATGCTTGCTGTCTCGCATAATCCTACTATTTTGGTAGACTCTTGGCATATCTTCAGTTCCTACCTTGAACATATATGATGATGGAGTAAGCTATCCTGGATCCTCCACTTCAGGAAAAGACTGTTTGTTACGGCACATTGGTTTTGTGCGCTTTGGAATATTTGGTTGGAAAAAAAAGAGGAAAAAACGTTGGGTTTAGATAGGACTTGCTTCGTGGGAAGGGATTTGAGGTTTGGTGTATTTAGCATATCTCCTCTCTTTGGGTGCATAATTCGAAACTTCCTTTCGGAAAATAAATTATTTATTTTTGCAATTACCAACAACAATGGGGCTCCTTATAGCAGCTTCAGATGTCATATGTGGTGAATGAATGTTGTGATTCACTTTCTCATTCGGATGTATAATTATGTATAGTTTAGACATTAATGATACTATAGAATATGACTTAGACTTGGTGATGTTGGTAGTATTTATAACTCAACAGCTGTTATTCTTGTTTTTTTACTACT